TACAATTATTTCTTATTGAACGGGTTGGTATCTGCCTTTATTACCACTTTTGCCTATATTTTATCATATTATTCTAGACAGATCACCAAACAATATCTAGAGACAAATTTGGCAAATTTGTTCAAGAGATGAATGTCATAGATGTTGTCAATCATTGGATACGTCTTTAATTGTGTAATACAAAATAACACAAGTGCAGAAGGGCATGTTGTCCATATGAGGCGTGACCATATTTTGTTAAATAAATATTAGTGTACAGCAACTAGATAAAACATTTTACAATATTTAAAAAGTCATTAAACTGGAAAACTGCAATTTACTGCAGACTTTTCAGAGAGGTTACTTCGAGGTATTCATTCCGCTAAGTAAAAACATAATAAGGGTATGTATACAAATAAGAACTTCAACTTTTAGAGAGCCTTTGAATGTTATTAGACTAACGAAGAGGGTTCTGCATGTTAACTATCGCTACACAGCAACAAAAACCATTTAATTTATCCCTAAAAAATATATTCTTAAGTGGACTGAGCAGGAGCCTAAAAATACTATGTAACTTACTTATACAGTTACAAAATGCCCAAACTCGCATTTATAATTCGGCATATGTATATTTCCCCAACAGATTAATTATCTGTAGAAGAAGTTCATTGAGCTCTTATCGTGTCCAATACCATCCAAACACAGAAACTTTGCCAAGAATGGTACCGGTACCTATCTTTGACAAATTATTTGCAGTGGCCTATATTACGGACCGTGGCCCACTAGGTTGGTAACATTAATGAAAATAACATGACATTTTGGCTGTAAAAATGGCACAAAGAGTAAATACTATCCAAGCAGCTACTGTCATGACAGAAAGGTCATATTCCTTTTAAACTAGATCACATCATCCTTTATAAGATACGTTGATTAACAATGCATTTAAACGTCAATATTTACGTAACAGCCAATTTACAGTATTCTTTTGTTTTTTGGAAATGCCATTTTGCTATGTTATTTGCATTATTTGTTGCCAATGAAGCTGCACGCCCATATAAACGAAGAGGCCCCTAACCGTCGATTTCGACGGGTTTCTCCTAGTTTAATTTATCACACATGTTATCCATTTTTATTACTCTGATAATTAGACTAATTCGTTAATTACAAGGCAAAGATGTGGTTCGAATTCCCCTATTAACCCCCTTAGTTGCCTTTTCTGTATTGGCTATTAGTTAAAATTAACATCTGTGTTTTTAAGAATATATCGGCCTTAGTCCCCTTAAAAACTAAAAGGTTGGGCCACTCATTCTACACTCATCTCCATTAATTCTTGGCTTAAAATGTACCTACTTTTTAGTATGGTCGCCATTTCAAAGTAAAGTATTAAAGTCAATCAATCAATTATTTAAGATGAGGACGCCACTATGTGCGTATTTTAACCCAAATATGAGTGAAGGATGAGAAAGAATTAATTTATTAGGTTAGTTAAACTCTTTGGTTATAATTAACTCATACACTAAAAGCTGAATTTAATAGATTGACATACTTTTATCACAGGCTAAAATAGACTATTGCATTTTTTATTTTATCTTTGTATGGATTTCAAGCGTCTTATTATGTTGTAAGAGTTTATCTTACAACATATGTCTTTAGTGTTGGTTAATTGGGAGGTAAAATAAGATATGGACTAACAAACACAGTCATTAGAGTAGCAGTATATCGTATTTAACAAAATGCAATCAATATCATGACAAAACTAAAATGTAAAATGATACGATACAATATTAAAAGCCCCAACGTTCATGATTCCAGGCTCCAAAGTAACAGAATGTTTGCAGACGACATTAAGCAGTGTACGAAATCACCGAGAAGTAAAATATTTCTTGGTGACGAAAGTAAGATTGCATAATAATCAAAGACCCACGTTATAACACGTTAAATTTGTTACCCTAGTTCGTTATCACTGAAGAAGAGGCCTAACGAAATTAAAAGATTACTGATAACTACATAATATTAATAACATCAATGTTATTACTTGTTCAATACAATTATTGAATGATTGATAATACATTTAAATAAGAATGAACTCCAATTTTTCGGCCCCACTCGTCTCACGGACATCTCTGCTCACCGTTTCCCACTCACCGATTCGTGGGCCCCCTCAGCTCCCGGGCCCCCCCGCATTGAGGGCCCTACTGTTACGCCACTGGTTTTGGCGCCCCCCCAAAAGGGACTTATTACTCGAAAAAGTAAAGATTAATTTTTGTAAATTGTGCAGGTTAGTTGCTGGCGCCCGATCAGAATGACAGGTGGAACGACTACCACAATCGCTGTTAAGCCCAAGACGTCGATTACGAGAACAACCGCCCCAACAACGATTGCTCCGTCTACTAACATTGCTGCGACCAGTAGACTAGAATTAACAGCCACAACTGACGTTTTAATCGTGACTACCTCCCAAGAATATTTTACACAATCTACTACAATGGCACAAGCTAGGAGTGAGCTTCTACTTCCACTCGAATCTGATTCTAGAGTCAACTGGGTTTACAAACTGTCCAAAGATGCAATTAGACAAATTTTAAGGGACTATAACTTGTCAGATGAAGGTTAAATTGATGATTTAAGAAAAGGACTTGTAACTGCTATCAGAAAAAGCCCAATAAAGGAGATGGATTGGTAACTTTGTAGGTACAGTGAAGTTCTTCGTTCGAGCCCATACAAAACCATGAGCACTACTGATTCGACACTTACTACCACCGCTCACTTTATAGCCCCCGTTAAAGAGATGTCATTTCCGCTGAGTGTAGTCCGGTTAAACCGATGTTCGGTTAAAAGGTGTCCGGATAAGAGGGAGTCTACTGTAAGGTGATTTTATTGCAAAAGAGAGGGTGTGTTGACCACAAAATGTCCATGTAAGGCGGGAAACTCAGATTGAGACCGGAAGAAAAGAGGTGGACCGAGTCTCGCTACAATAAAACCACCTCAATAGAGTAGGAAAATTAGCTTAAACAAGTTAAAAATTTCAACTTCAACATGTGTTCCTAGGTTAATGAATCAGAAAACATGGTTTTTATTACAGTTGAAATTCAAAACGTAATTTTAATGCCTTGATAGATACGGGATCAATGATCACTCTTATCAGAAATGATGTTGCCGATTATCTTCAAGACCAAGATATAAAACCTCAGATGGTAAAAACAAATATTTGTCTGGCCGACCAGTCTACAAGTACCGCTGACAAAGTTTTTGAGTTTGAATGCTCAGTTGGAAATAGAGAAACTCGATTCCAAGCTATAATGGTACCTAACCTGTCTGTGCCCACAATACTAGGAATGGATGACTTAATCATTCCTCTAGAATTGATTATAGTTCACTGTAACTGATGGATATTACTGTCTAAAATCATGTTTTTAATTAATGTTGCATAATGTATGAAATCACATGTTAAAATACAATGTTTACAGTTGATTGTTGTTTTTTTTTTGTTTTGATTTTGAATTAAAATGGACTTTTATGATTGTGTTTGATTCTGAATTTACTTATTTCTTACATATTTAACAGTAACAAATTCAGTGTTACACCTGTAACAGGAGCCAGGAACATTTTGAAGTGTAGTGCTGTTACACCTCTCTCCATAGAAGAGAATGAACAACTAGAATGTTTTCTAGATAAAGAACGCTCTATTCAACAAAGTTCCGGGCCATACAACTTTACAACTTTAATCCAACATAGTACATAAACCAACATATTAGACTAAAATCAGACTATCCCATCAAACAGCGGTACTATCCTCGAAACCCTGCGATGCAGGCGATTATCCTGAATATTATTAAGGAAATCCTTCAAATGCACGCTGATGATATAATCTAACCATCTATGGAGTAGTCCATTGGTAGTCGTCAAGAAACCTGGGGGTAAAATAAGGATCTGTATTGATTTTAGAAAAAGTTAATCAAGTCAGTGAACATGACGCATATCCACTTCCTCCACTGTAGGCTACAGTGTCTGTAACTAATCTTCCGAATAGTCAGGGTTTGGTATTTTTTGTTATTGAAACCCATTTGTTTGTTTTGTTAATCAAAGTACATACCATAGTTACCATAGGCCCTAACTACCCGTGCAATCTTAGGCCTAGTCACATATTTAGTTTAGCTATGTACCTTTGTTACTATTTTACTGATAAAAGTTTAGAAATTTAAGTCTCTAGACAATTTTTTCTGCTTATATCACGTTTAGGTCTGTGTAAGGGTCAACAAGTTGTCCTACATGACACCGATCGTAGTAAGTGTTAGGCCTACTTAACCCTTCCCGGACGGGCGAAATAGTGACATAGAACGGTAAAAGATTATCGCTACCCATCCGCGGATGAGTAGAAAAGCAGTGGATATATCCGCCACCTGTCTTTGAAGATATGACCATGACAACGGTAGGCAGTAGGCTAAATAAAGAACAATATGTAAACAATAAATAAAGACAACGTAGTGTTGAGCGCGAAACGTCGAGGGGGGAGCGTAGGAGAGGTGGGTGGTGCGCGGGAGAAGGGTACTTAGGCGTGGGAGAGAGGGGGAGTGCGGGAGAGAGCAGGAAAGTGGCGCCTTGGTACCGTGAAACATCTGGTTACTGCTTAAGCACCTGCCAGTCTGTCTGAAGAGATTTGGTTTCATCGTTAAGTCACCACCATGCTAAAATCAGTAGACATCACTACGCAAAAGATCACTCAACTTTAGCCTACCTAGTGATACGTAGTGGTAGTTGGGCCAACAAGATATCACTATTTTACCTAGTGATATCATATCACTGTTGCCTAATGATCATACATCACTAGTTAAGTTACCTAATGAATTCATATCACTACGTACGTAGTGATGTCTAGTTGGCCCAATTACCACTACGTATCATTAGTCACTACGTATTTTTTTAGTGATTCTTCTGTGTTTTTTCACTAAGGAAAAGGATAATGAGCTTTAAAACTCCACATAACCTAGATGTAGAATGTTCTTTCGATGTAGGCTACTCACATTGAAATGTAAATCCTAATTACATTAATCAGGTATACCCGTACCAGTTAAATATTCATTGACATTAACACAATGTTTTGCCAAATGTATAACAATAAAGGGGATTGCCCGACTTATTTGAATAATTAATCTTATCCTAGACTGACAAGACAAAAGACGAAAAGACAACTTCAACCGGTTCTGTCTGGCCTGGCGGCAGACGAGAACCACAGTCGCACTCGCAGTCGAAGGAGATAAGAAGAATGTTTTTGTTGTTATCATTAGGTAAACTTTTCAAGCCAGTGGCTGGTTAGTAATATAAAATTCATGCAACCTTGAAGTACTATTTGCGGTTCCTTCCTTTGAGTTAGAGCACAAACAATAATGTGCTCTATTAATAAAAAATCACCAAAGATATTGCGTTACCATGGACATTTTATGAAACTTCAAATGTCAATGAAATATAAAAAATAAAAAAAAAGTTTCAAAAAATGGAACAGAAAATTTTAAAAGTGCTTTTCCTGAAAACGGACGTTTTTAAATTTTCACTCCAACGTATCTTATAAGGTGTACACACAGCAGCTGTAAAATGTGATTACTCCATAAATAAATAACTAACTTTATTAAAATGTTGGCTTACAATTAGAAAGAATTGTAAGCCAATTAGAAACGCGGTGTGTTTCTTGCACAAGGAGGAAGTCGCATATTCGTACGTCTTGTACATATCAGACAGTAATATTTCTTTTTCTCTCGATATTAAACGATATCGTTACTAATGGCCTTGAAAAAGGTTGTTTATGTAGATTCATTTTATTTTGTTTTTAAGTCTTCCGGTTGTAGAAGAATAGCCGCTGAAATGTCAGCGTTGCCCGGGGTGCGCCCAATTGTGATGTCGTTCTTAGCGTGTAATACTCAAAATCTTCGTGGAGGCTCCTTCTGTGCAGTGGCGTAACAGCCGCCCCCGCAGACCCCGCGGTGCGGGGGGGCCCGCGAGGTTTAGGGGCCCGCGAGGTTAAGATACCCTTTTCTCATAAAACCGTCCGTAAAACCGATTCTTTGTTCACGGATGTTTTTCTCTCCTGACAAATTATAAATAAAAAAACGATGTGTTGGTAGATACTTTTATTCTGCCAAATCTACTGAAGTTTTATCTTTTAATTAACAATATCGTTAACGAAACGCCAACGCTCACCACAATCACCCGACGATGTGTATTGTCAGTGTGGTTGTGTAGCTTCATGCTAGCTAGCGCTAGGTGCTGTGTGCCAGTGTGCCTGCCTGCCGCCGTGGCGACACACACTCGGAGCCAGCCCCTCCTCCCTCCCCACTACCCGCTCACGTGTAGGCCCCTAACTCAGCTGACCGTAGATCACCTGATTTTGGAGATCAAAACAATTTGTTTTCTGTTCTCAGTCCTGACTCCTGAGTTTCTGTTGAGCAATGAGCAGTAAAGATGATGAGCTTCAAGTGAAATTAAGTGAACTGGCTAAAGAATATAGCGAAGATTTGACATCTGACTTTCCTAGCGAAATGTTAAGTTTCAGAAGAACTTTCAGACATTAAATCAAAGCTAAAAGGTCCCTGAAAGAGATGGCAGAATTTTTGTTCCTGGAAAACTATTCTGTTGCATCCAGTTTACCGAATTTATGTACAGCATATTTACTATTTTTGACTCTATCTGTTACAGTGGCTTCAGCTGAACGTTCTTTCTCCAAATTAAAATTAATAAAAAATTATCTCAGTAGTACTATGTCACTATGTCTCAGGAGAGACTAAGCGGGTTGAGCGTCTTAAGCATTGAAAACGACATTGCAAGAAAAATTGATGTAAAGACAGTCATTGAAACTTTTGCAGCTAGAAATGCAGCAAGATCAAGACATTTCAAATAAATAAAACCTTTCTAAAAGTTCTTTTTTGTGATTTGTAAAACAATTTGAACTTAAAACATGTGTTAATGTATAGCAAAGTATTTCTTGTCACTTTAAAAATAAAAGTTAGGCTATTTGTTATATTTTTTGTATTTTTTATTTCACTGAAGTCAGTTCACGCTAGTGAGTTTTAAATTTAGGCCTACTGTAGGCTACCATGCTCTACTTAGTTTCTCAATCAGATGTCATGTCATTAAATTGGGCTAATTTAGTGAAGCACTAACATTTACAGTTGGGACCACGAAAGTTTACAGTTGGCGGCAGCCAATCACAAGACAAGGCTAGTGCGACGTTGCCATATCGCCCGTTGACGACACTAATTAAAATACTAAACAATATTTTTAAAACAGCTGGTATTATTAGATTTGGCAACACCGCACTGCCCTCATTGGCTCCTTTGAAGTGAAATGGTAAATAGGCTACTCCCTCAACTGCAAACTTTCGTGGTCCCGACTCAAATTATAGTTGGAAGCTTGGTTGTTTTAGTAATGAATGTGAATGGTGGAGTAATGGAGTAGCCCATATATATTAATCACGAACATAACTCCCAAGTTTATTATCACTGTGACAAAATATAAAATATGTTTCAAGGACGACTCTGGTCGTGTGGTTGAAGAATAGGTAAATACTTGATATTGCTAGAGACCATCCTCTGCCAGTCTGATCGTGTAGGCCTGCCGTCACCTACGTCATGTGATAGTTGTGGTGTGGCGATGGTTGTGGTATATAGTGCTGTGGTGGGGAATGGGAGGGGTAGTAGGGGGCCCACAGACATTTTTGCGGGGGCGCCCGGGGAAATACTGTTACGCCACTGCTTCTGTGCACCCCTTCACTATATTTTTATACTAAAAGGAAAAGGTTCGTATTCAAAGATTAAAGGTTCATATTCAAAGATTAAAGGTTCATCCCCTTAACCGCTTCTAGCTAAAAAAAATCTAACTTGTACAAAAATGGACTATGTTGTATCTATGCTTGTACATTTTAATTTAACTAGGGGAATAGAGTATTGTGGGATTAGAGCCATGTGCCAATTAGCTGGTCGATTCCTGTAGGTGTTGGTAACAACATAACAGCATTTCACAGCGTACCGAACCGATTTTGGATAGATTTTTACTTTCTCCCCCTATAGGCCTACCATAGTATATGGAGAAAGTATTGCTTTCGTCAAAATTTTCGAGTTTGAGTTTTGAGTGGATATATTCGTTTTGGGTCCCCCTGGACCCATAAAGTGGTTTTCGAAGTGATGCCTCTGTGTGTGTGTGTGTGTGTGTGTGTGTGTGTGTGTGTGTGTGTGTGTGTGTCTAGATGTGTACAGAGCTAGGGACTACACCTGTGGTCCGATTTCGATGAAATTTGGTATGTAGGTTCTAATCCATGGTATCTCCAGGTGTTTTTTTTTTCATTTTTTGAAATTTTGATCTTTGGGTCGCCGGATTTCTACCCCCGGATATTTTCCCCCATGAAAAAAAACGCCTACGTCATTTTGACGTCACGAAGACGGGGCTTATACAAGGTCGAGAAACAGCCCGCGACTGGAAATCTACCCCCGGACATCTACCCCCAGAAATCTACCCCCCGTGGTCAGCTCTGCCGCGTATCGGCCAATATTCATTGTTGTAATTGATTTCATTAATTGCTTTATATAAATCAACGGCTCTTCGGTTAATCATTACCCTCTAATATCTAGTATTAAGCATGTGATATGCCATTGCCTTGTTTAACATTATCTATCTTCCTAATAAAATAAGCTGTAACAGCCCTTTTTCACCCAAACTACTTCACTGATATTTATGATTGAGGTGTAATTTTAAATCTTAAGATCCAGCTCAACGCAAAATGGTATTAATTTATATGTTGATAAAGGGCTTCAAAAGTGTGACCCTTAAGTATTTGATTCATTTCATGGTTTTGGTTCATTTCATGGTTGACCAACTAACAGCTACGGCGCATGCATGAGCGCGGATCGGAAGTGTTTATCACAATAGATTGACCAATACGATTTTAATACTATTTAAAGGTTCTTCCAAAAGAAGAGAAACCAGTTAACATTGTACTAATAACTCTTATGACGTACGGTATGGGAAATATTTTATTAATTGAATGATCAACCACATTTTGTAACTAACGCAATAGTCATTATATTGCTTTTACACTTATTACTCATCAAAAAAGCTAAAGAGCTAAATGCTCAAAATTTGTATTACTTCAATCAATTTATCGCAGTTATATAAATTAGCATAAGCCTTGAAAGTAACCGTCAATGTCGACGGGTTTCACCTAATTCTGTTCTGTATACTACCTAAAAATGCCTCATTTTAACATTTTACTGGCAGGAAACCTGCTTATTCACTTCCTATATGGTAAACTTATGAATGAATCTTTTGAACACTCATTTATGGACATAAGTTACAAGTTTTGTTTTAAAGAAGGATTTTCCAATACTATTTTATATATTCTCTGAATATGCGAATGTGCTGCAATGGGGGTATTTAGGCGTATGTATATATTAAAAGATATTAGGATATGCTTAAAAAATTGAATGCGGCCATTATTTTGAATTTTAATAATTGTCTTATTTTAGGTCTTTAAGAGAAAATACTTTCTTAGTAGGCCTACGCATCTAAAATCCTAGAAACTAAATTTTTTTTACTACTAGGTGATATTAAAAATTTACTATTATACACCTGACTTTTATTGATCCTCTTTCTCAATTTAACAGTTTACAACTGAGTTTTGGTTTACTAAACAATTATTACTATTAGGCCATTGAATAAACCGGAAGTCCACCACAGTTTATTCACTTTATCCTTTAAGAAATGTGTTTAAAAACATTGGTTCAGTACGATGTAACACTTGACCATGTGAAAAGTGCGCAATATTATATTATTTTTATAACTTATTCATCTCCTGTTTACAGTTGCAGACGATCTATCCATGTTTTTCACAACCTGGCTTAAAAAATGATCTGATGAGTACTACTCACATTTCACTTTTAAACTGTAAAGTGTAAAAGTTGGTCAACCATTGGAAGCACCTTCTGGAATAAATCAAAGGCGTAGGGGTCAACCTTTTGAAGCCCTAATCGAAATATCCTTTTAATTACCATTTTGTGCTGCGCTAGATCTTAAGCTTTTAAAAGACACCTCAATCGTAAAAATCAGTGACGTAGGTCGGGTTGAAAAGGACTGTTACAACTTATTGAATTATAAAAATGGATAATGTTAAAACATACATCGACATATCGCATGTTTACTACTGGATATTAGAAGGTAAAGCAATTGATAAAATCAATTACAACAATGAAAATTGGCCGATACGCGGCAGAGCTGACCACGGGGGTAGATTTCCGGGGGTAGATGTCTGGGGGTAGATGTCCGGGGATAGATTTACAATCGCGGGCAGTTTCTCGAACGTGTCCACCCCTCGTGACGTCAAAATGACGTAGGCGTTTTTTCATGGGGGTAAATGTCCGGGGGTAGAAATCCGCTACCCCTGATTTTTAATGGGTATTTTTCCATAAAAACCCATAAAAAATCGGAAAAATCAAATTTTCTCAAAAATGGCCCAAACGATTTGGATAAAAATTTAGTATGTTGTAGCCCTTTAAATGCTGAACAAAATGGTACAAATTTCTCCCCATTTCTGTAAAACTTACGGTTCAAAAGTTATTGTAAATTATGTTATTTTCCCATTAAAAAAACCCATAAAATAACGAAAATAGGATTATCGAAAAAAATCTGGTTTTGATTTTGACATAGTAGGATGGTCCTTACCAATTTGATAGTTTTTTTTCATTTTTTAGAAATTTCGATTTTTAATGGGGATTTTCCCATAAAACCCCATAAAATAACAGAAAAGTCGGATTTTCCCAAAAATGGCCCGAACGATTTTGATAAAAATTTTGTACGTTATAGTCCTTTAAATTCTTAACAAAATTGTAAAAATCCCATTTCCGTATATTTACTCTCACCGCTTACACAATATGATAAAGGTTATTGACAAACTTATAGGAGAAAGTATGTGTCAGAATGCTGATACCTTTATTTATTTTCTAGCAGAGTTGCCGTGCCTGAAGCCAGAGCTACCTTCAAGTATCCACTCCACTTGTATTTATCATTTCTATAGTTCTGTGATTCTGGTTGTGATGATTCTGATTTTGATTCCTCCTCCTCCTCTCACTCGCTCTCTCTCTCTCCCCCCCCTCTCACTCACTCACTCTCTCTCTCTCTCTCTCTCCCTCTCTCTCTCTCTCTCTCTCTCTCTCTCTCTCTCTCTCTAAAAAATAATCAGTTACATCTCTTGAAAACTTTTGTAATCGTCAGTCGATTGATCGAAGAAATCGAGCCGAAAGGAACTTGATCGAATAACAAAAGAAAATGTAAGAACAATCATAACTACGGTATTTACTCAGGGGAGGTATAGATGAGCTTACTATGACAGCTGTGGGCTTCTCATTAGCTGAGGGAACACCGTTACCGTAACAATACGTTTAGCAGCTATCGGCCTCGGTGGTCTAGTGGTTAGCGTGCCGGGCTGATATGCTGGGAGTCCCGGGTCTGAATCCCGCTGGTGGCATTAACTTTTTGACTAAGATTTTTTCATTTTCAGCAAGATTGGTTGGTTTGGTTCGGTTAAGACAGTTTAATTTTATTATTAAGTTAAGTCATTATAAAATTTTAATTGAGCAATTTCTAGTTTTATTTAATAAACAGAATATGTTTTCCTATTAATACACTTTTTTATATTATTTCATTATCAGCAAGTTTGGTTAGTTCGGTTAGATTATAATAGTAATTTTATAATAAAAAAATTTAAAATTGAATTTGAGGCATTTATAATTTCACTTCATGAACAGAACTATTTTTGCGATTAGTAAACCTTCATTGCCAAAATGCTCTCTACTACAGCGCTATTCACGGAGGAATTTTGAACTAATGCCTCAATCGTATCTCTATATCTCAATGATCTCCCCTAAGTCAGACCCCATGAACTATCGAATACGAATAGCCCGTAGCGTAGCCCATCAGCCAGGCAGTAGTTCAGTTCCCGGGTCAAAAAAAGTACAGAAAACGAGAAAAGGGGTTATGCGTGATGCATTAAGTACTTGTTAGAGTATAGTTTTGACCTGTAATTGTTGAAAATAATCGACTAAGTTGAAGAAAAGAATCCATAATGACTGCAACACGAAGGTTGCAAAAGGTAAGAAAACTTAGTAGCCTACCATTTTTTTCAACCAGTTAAAGACGTTAAAATTATCTCAAGTCATGCTCTAAAATCATTTACAAAGCCTAATGTAATAAACAAGGATTATTATTAAACTTGTACTAATAGGACTATTATTAATGTTATCTTATGTTAGTGGATTCTGATGAACTATTTACACTCTTAAATATGCCTCATTGAATTAATTAGTAAAAAAACTAAAATGTAGTCAAGGTTAGGCCTATACAGTCTCATGTGTGCCTAGGCTATACACCTAAGTAGCCTAATTAAGTTAGGTCCTTTCATTCAAAAGAATGATTATAATTGATAGGCTAACAATAACTGAACAAATTGTTTTCTTTTCATAATATTTATAATGTAGGCCTATAATTAAGGTATTTTCTTTTAAAATTTGTCAAGTCTTGAGTCTTGGCAGACAACATCACCTTTGAACTTTAGGCCTATCTTTTATAAGTGCTTGCTGTTTGCTGACGATATCAAGGTTTTCAAGTGTATAAAATCTCAGGCAGACTGTTCCACCCTTCAACAATGTTTGCACTCAATCGACAATTGGTGCCTGGATAACCACATGGATATCAATGTTTCAAAGTCTGCAGTGGTATCTTATCACCGTACCGAGCAGCGTATTGACTTCTACTACACGATGAATAATGCCATCCTGCCACGGAAGAGTGCCATACGAGACCTAGGAGTTTTAATGTCATACGATTTAAACCCAGACCTGCACATAAATACAATCTGCAATAAAGCCTCTAAAGCTCTAGGTTTTGTCATTAGATGTGGTAGATACGGACTTGATGTTAATGCTCTGAGAACTCTTTACATGACTCAGGTTAGGCCTGTGCTGGAATATGGCAGCTTGATATGGAATCCACATCAAATCAGCCACATATCAAGAGTAGAAAAAATTCAGAATCGCTTTCTTCGCTCTATTGGCGTCAAGTTGGGCCATGAATTCTATACAGTGCCGATTGAAGATATTCGCATCGATATGGGCCTTCCTCGACTGAGTGACCGTAGACAATCTGCAGACCTGTCTTTCCTCTGGAAGTTGTTGAACGGCGAAGTTGATGCTCCAGAAATACTTCGCCTAATTAATTTCCACGTTCCTCGACACTTCAGGCACATTCAACTCTTCAACAAAGCTTCTTTTTCTACAAACTACGCCTTCCACAGTACAATTCCACGGCTCCACAGAATTGGAAATCAAGCATGCCAACATGTTGACGTGTTCACCTGCAAACTGAAAGCCATAAAAAATATCATAGTTTAAGTTGTTATTGTTATTGTTTTTTGTTGATGAGAAATTGTCCTGAGATCACTGTCCGGAATTTGCTACCTGTTTGTTGTTTGCACATTCAGATAAATTTGTATTGCACTGTTAAAATTTTTCACTTAGTTTACGTCACTGTTATTAATTGTTGTCATTTTTTTTTCTTTTTTGTCTTGTCTGTCAAATATATTTATATTTTTGCTTGTTATTGTTATTATATTGAAATATTTATCAATTGTTATCTAGTTTTGGTAATCGTATTTTTCTCTAAAAATGTTTATGCTTGTTAACTAGGATTTATAATACGCATGATCCAATTTTTGTTAAAGCATTTTTGGACAATCCTGTTGGTGTCATTTTTTCATGTTAGCAATCTTTTTATTCAGCAAGATGAATCTGAATCTGACTTATATATATTTATAAATATTTTATTGTATTGCCCTCATGTATTATCGATTGTAAAAATGGTGTTTACCGTATGATAAATAAATAAATAAATAAATAAATAAGGTGGCCTTAAAACTTGTGTGAACCTGGCAGTAACTCAGCAATAAGTAGTAGTGTGCGCGCCTGATAAAATCTATTGCTGGCTGTTTTGTGGAAAAATACAGCCCCGTAGTATAATAAGGCGCGCACACTACTTATTGCTGACTTTACCCCCCCTTTTCTTAACTAACTTAGGCCTACTCCCCAGGTAGGCCTAGGCTACATGATATTGATACTGTTGTGTCCGTTAAAGTGTCCTCTATCTGGTGACATTATCGGTAATATGCTACGCGGCCGTATTATTCCGCAAAACGGCCAGCAATAGATTTTATAAGGCGCCCGCACTACTTATTGCTGAGTTATTGCCAGGTTCACACCAATGGTCTTAAATACACTCTATAAGTTATTGATAAGAGATGTAAGTTAAGATTAGGCTAATGCAGATATTGTCTAGGGGAGCGGTTTAACTTACTTAACAGATAGTAAATTTGCACGAGGATTTTCTTACCTTCTTGTTCAAAAAATAAGCTAATGCTAAGTTAAAATAAGAGCTTATTTATTTATGACAATGTGCCATTTTACATTGGAGTACCTACCTACAAGTTTGGCAACAGTAGGCCTAAGCATGCATAGGCCTATTAAACAAACAGGAAGCGACGAATACATTCCAAGACAACAAATTAATATTAATATAGGAAATATTAATTTAACAGATAATGATTTAACAATTTGATTGTAACTTATAAATTAATTCGAGGGAGTTATAACAGAATAGGATTTAGGGATTGCTAGCGGAATAGGAAATTATATCTTAAGAGGATTAGGAAAGTTAGTAAGCCAATATAAACACATGCCCATTCCCTGGACAAAAAGTTGACTTTGAACTATCTGTCGTCTAATACCGTAATAGGTTTATCAGTAATGGTAACATGTGACAGTGATTTCTTGATTAAAAAACCTAACCATACATCAAATCAAATCAATCTTAATTGTGACAATAACTTAATAAGTTGAAGCAGCATTAGAATATTCAGATGGAAAGATTATCACATGGTCTTCTGCCTGTAGCCTACCTAAAGAGAGTTTACCTACACTGACTGCGTAGATATAGTCAATTAAATTGATTGTTTCAACTTAATTTATTTAGCCTACTTAGTTCATAGAGAATCACCATTAAGTTATTTAATTATGATACATGAGGCCGATTTTTGTACTTGGCCTATTTTACATAAAAAGACAAAGAGTTAGGCCCTAACAATAACAAAATGAATTTGCAAAGACAGCTTTTATACATAAATAACAAATAGGCCTATATCAATAAGAAAGAGAAGCAAGCATGATCAAAGAGACAAATATTAAAATCAGGTGTGTGTGCAATTGCAAGAATGAATTTGGCAACATATTAACAGAACATGGTAGGAGATCATGCTACCATGTTCATTGTTCATGCTATGCAGATCGTTCTAACTTGTAAAACATGCAAGAACAATAAAATGGAGTAACAAAATAAAAATAAAAATGAAGCAATATCCTCACATAACAATGATAAATAGGAACATAAGTGTGCAAAAAACATCATGGTGCAATTTTGAATTTAACAGCATCAATTCACTAACAATGAGATTTGCGTACTTGCCTGGGAGGAAGGATAACCAGGGTATTGCCCACTAGAAACACTTTTTGTGACCCTTTAAAGGCACCACCTGTTTTAGTTAGAAAATATAAATAAAATTAGAAGCTATAACATTTAGTTCAGAAGTTTATTTACAATGCAACTCAAGACTAAAACATAAACATGGCTGATCTTGTTTACCTCCAACTAACATATGATACATTTATTTTATTAACATAGGCTATGGTAATATGTGAACATAACATTATAATACATCTCTCCTACATTCTCCTTAAAAAACCCCCATCAAATAAGTCTGAGAGAATTAACTCAAAACAATAACCAATAATAACCAACCAAATTTCTCCAGCTTCATTTGAGACCATTATATTGTATTCTGAGATCTTGATGGTAGCTTGATTTCTCTCTGAGGTCTTAGTTGTACTGGCTCGTCTTGCCTTGGAACTGACTGGGAATTGTTCTGTTGAGTGAGTGATGGTTTCAGATGGCGGCGATTTCTTCTTAATGTAGCCCCGTTATCACCTTCTTACCCAGTAACTTCTTGGAGTTGGCCCTTGATTAACAATCTTTCCCTGCTCCCACCGACCTTCATTTCTGAAGACAACTCTTTCGCTATTTCTTACAACCCTTAAGTCTTTGGCTGACCGATCATAATATTTTTTCTGTAGCTGTTGTCTTGTTTTCAACCTGTCTTGTACTCCCTCATGCAGCGTCAGTTTTAGCAGTTCTAGGTAACAGGGATCGTTGTTTTACACCTGTGTTGGAACATCATCTGAGCTGGAGAATATCCCAGATGCTTAACGGGCATGTTCCTAAGCTCCAATAAAGCCATTTTAAAATTCTTACCGTCATTCTGTATTTTCCTAATCAACTCTTTGGCCATTCCAACTGCCCTTTCAGCAAGCCCATTCAGAAGATACACCAGAACTGGTTCTGGTCACACCATTCAGAAGAAGATTTCACAGATATAGGGATTGTGCATAGCATGGACTGTGTGTCACAATTTAAAAATTCCATTCACAGGTGAATTCCCTCATTTGGGCACTGTTGTAAGGGACATTATCCGCTACCATTATATCAGGGGGGCCAAATCTGCTGAAGATGTCTTTGCATGCTGATTTACATGTCATTTTAACCAGCTCCAACCAGTTTGAGTAAACATCCATCATGACTAAGTACCTACACATTTCCTCCATATGAAGATATGTCACATCCGATACACTCCCATGGCTGATAACCTAAGGTAACCGTAACCTAAGGTATAGGATACGGCATAAGGGTTTCCCATGCATTATTTCTGGAAAACCTTTCACATATATTGCAATGAGCCACAAAACATTCAATGTCTAGCCATTCGTGGCCAATATAGTATCTGTCGAGCCCTAGCTTTGCACTTTTCAAATACTCCGAGCGATGTGGATTCGCTGAAGCATGTCCTGTCGTGGCACAATCAGTTTGTGATTTATAAACAGTAAATTATCTTCTTCAGATACCGTATGTCTTTGGTTCCAATAGTGGTGTACTATTGCTGGGGTGTCTTGCTTCCTTTCTGGCCAAACTTCTTTGCCTTATCTTCATACTTACTTTATACTTACTTCATACTTCTTTTCTTCATCTTTGACCAGCTTTTTGACCTCATAAAAAAATCCTTCTATAGAGAAGAGGGGGTTTTTTTAGCCATTTTTTTATTCTTCCTTCGCTTAAACTTGCGGGGATCAAGATCCTTAGTACTAGCTCGCAATGTATTATATAGTTTCATTGCTAGAGTGTTGTTCTGCTCGTTTTGTAAGGGACAGGTTGTTCTCCTTAATGTAAGTCAAACTGAGCAAGATATACTGACTATAAATAGTCAGAAGAATGTTCTGACATCCAGAGGAATGTCCCCACAACAAGAGGCCATACACAATGTGGGTGTAAAAGAGTGCATAGTATACTTTGATTATATGTTTCTTGGACAGTAAGGGTTTTAGGCGTCTTAGCAGAAAAATCACCCGGGCAAGTTTAAGGCACATTATGTATGTATGACTGATCCAGGTCAATTTTGTGTCTAGGATATAGCCCAAAAGCTTAACCTCATTTAGGTCATTTGTCAGGCTGAGGTTGAGACCACATGTATTTTCTTGGGTCTTGGCTTCGTTCAGACTCAGTTTATTCAACAAAAACCACTGCTTAGCAAGACCGAAGGTGTCAGATACTCGCTCCTGGGATAAGTTTGGGGTGTTTCCGCTGGCGAAGATGGTGGTGTCGTCAGAAAAAATAAGGATGTTTCCTAACAGACCAAGGTCCTTTATTAGGACCAGGAACAGGGTAGGCCCGATGACTGAGCCCTGAGGCACTCCATGCTTAATGGCCAACGGGTTAGAATCCGTCCCATCAAGTGTTAAAATTTGCCTCCTGCCGGACAGATAGGAACTGAGGGTGGAAAGCACCTGTCCATTTACACCATAGGCTCTAAGTTTTTTGATGAGAAGGGAATGGGGGACACAGTCAAAAGCCTTGCTTAAATCTGCAAGAGCTAGAGCAGTGGATCCCTTGGCGTCAAAAGAGTCGAGCAACATAGACACCAGCTGAGACATAGCTGTAACGGATGATCTCCCACACCTAAAGCCATGTTGGGCATTCAAAAAAAGTGCATTATCCTCAAAGAATGCGACTAGTTGGGATTTCATGATTGTTTCCATGATCTTGGCCAGTACAGGGATAACCGATATAGGTCTGTAGCTCTTTAGATCGGCTGGATCCCCCTTCTTGAAAAAAGGCATAGTTCTCAAAAGCTTCAGGACATCCGGGAAGCACTCCTCTTGTAGGCATCTATTTATCACTTGGCTTAAGGGATCAGCAATGACATCTATTACATATTTCAGAACACTTACAGACATGCTATATATGTCAAGACACTTCTTGTTCTTGAAATGTTTCACAAGCCCAATGATCTCACTGGGGCTAACCGAAGTCCACCTTAGAAATTCTATGGCATTGTTTCTTAGGGTATGGATTGGTAGACTTACATCATCCAATGACAAACCAGTATCATTTATGGACTCAACGATGTCATCAAATTGGCTCAGAAGGAAACGATTGAAGTTGTCTGGACTAGCCTTTACTCTAGGTTTAGTGTTAGATTTCCTAGATGCTGCAACACGGTTTACTAAATTCCAAGCAGCTCTGCATTGGTTGCTGGAGGATTTAATCGCAAGAATTTTAGTACTCTTTTTTGCTAGGTCAACTTCATATCTGTATTGCCTTTTAGCCCTATGATAAGAATCATAAAACCTAAGTCTTACCTCTTCACTCATACTAGCTTTACAACGATCATTTAGTGCCAGCACTATATTCCTAAGTAGTTGTAGCCTAGGTGTGTACCGACCCTTATTTAGAGAGGGGAATTTCGGATTTCGTTGTTTAGACGATGCATGCTTGCACAGGGAAAGCTTCAGAACCTCTGGGAAGCACTCCTCTTGTTGGCATCTATTTATCACTTGGCTTAAGGGATCAGCAATGACATCTGGCAATGACAGGGGGACTTATTAGTGCTTCTAGTAGGGAAGAACTGATCATATATTTCTTTTATTTTATTGAAAAATCATTAAAAGTAACCACCACCACCTAACTTAATTTTCCACTGACACTACACCCAGAAAGACTGACTCTTAAATGAAGACGGGGAGCCGTGGAAGGAATCGACCCTTGGAAGCCACCTCGCTGCCACTCCTGAGAAGCCTTGAGATACAATTGTTAAGGGCATAGTTCGTTGGTTTGTAGCACCTCTGGAAGACTGAGCATGAGCGTGTGGCGCAGGCTATAGTGAGGTCTATATCCTAAGTAAGCAGAGACAGTTAACATATCCATTGGCAAGCTTGAAAAGAAATTGGAGTTCATTGACCTTTCTTCTCCATGGAAGTTGTTGAAGTCCAAATGCTGTTCGTAACTCTGATGTTGGTGTTTTCAAGTATGGATAATTCAGTCTTACTCCAAGCATTCTCACATAATGCAATTGCATTCTATCAAGCTGTCGAATGCCTCCAAGTTGCTATGGTGCCCATTTTACAGTGCCAGACTCTACAACTGGTCGTACGAGTGTCTTATAGCGTGTGACGAGGGTTTGTGGCAACTCTCTTTGGCCGTTCTTACCAGCGGTGAGCTGGCCTTTAAAGCTATGGTCAATGTGTGCACTAGGGTCAAGGGAGGTTCCATTATGATTCCGAGGTCTCTAATTTTGTCGACCCCTCCGTTATTATTTTTTAGGCTTAGCCCATGTTCCTCATAAAGTAGGCTTGTTCAATTATTATGTTGTGGCTCCCTTTAGGCTATTTTAAGTCAAAGTAATTTTAGACAACTGACCAGTTATTTTAAGGCCCGGGATTCATTTCTTATTCATTTCTTAGGCTCAGCATTTGCAATCAATTACTGGGTAAATTACTGATTCAATTTGAGGATTTGCTCCCAATCTTGATCACATTTGAATTGTAATAGCATGGTCATCTTAGTCTTTTGCACCATAAGTTCAACAGTCATTTGTGTGCCTCTCCTGTTTATGACAAGCAGTTCAGCCTGTTAGGTGATCGTTAAATGTTGGTACCATAAGCCTATTCACGCCTAAATTTCTTAGTCATGTGTGCAGACAACTCAAGGCTTGTGTATGGAGGGTATACTCAGTGAGCTTTGAGTGAGATTTGTGTCAGACTTTGAAAGCATAGTAGCAAGTGAAGTGAAATAGATCCTCAAGGTTGTCTAAATCCAGCTCAGAAATGAATTGCCAACATTATTGGGCATCGGGAAGATTTCAAAGTTCTTAAAACAAATGTGGTTTTGTTTAGTAAAGTTCCTAACTTCCTATACTCCTGGTCTTTGCTGTTCATCTTAGACCAGTGTTTCCATGCACAGGACTTTTAATTTATAGGCCTACCATGGGTGGGCTTAAAACAGGATGTGGGATAAAAGGGGCATTTGGCTCTTCACGCCAGATTTTCTGCTTTACACGTAAAAACTAACCCAATACAGTCTTTTTTCCCCTGGCCTACAATAAATCATCTAGCTCCTATAATGCTGATCAATCAAATATGGCAGCTTGTTTTATCCTCTTTGTCACATTCCTATATTACTAAGAGACTTTGGTTTGGTATCCCCGTCTTATCACATGAGGACTGTATAACTTCGAAAGCAACAGGTTTTTGAGGCAACCAAGTTTTTCAACTTCTGAACTCAACGAAGAGGAGTGTTGTATTCATAAAATACGGAACTCACTAATTTTTTTTACCTTTTACACCAGTTAATTAGACATACGACTAGGCCCACATCTACGAAAGTCACTGAGAATATTGGTTAACTCAATTTGAAAATCAGTTTACCTCTGCCTCTCACGGCACTTACTTGCTTTGTTAATTTTGCTTAGGCCTTATTATTACTGACAGTTGAATGTATAATCGTTTTTTTATTGTTTTGATAAAAACTTTATAACACATCCTACTATAATCATAATAAGTAGGCCTACCACCTAAAGTAATACAGGTGAAGAGACCTATACTACTGCTGCTAGATGCTTAGTGTGTAGAAATTCAATTCAATTCTTAAATACCCCCGTCGCAGCTAACCTGCAGACTAAGCAAATTTCCATTTGCCTAGTTTGATTTTCAATTAATTCTATTCAAATAACATTAGGTTTAACGAGTACCTAGGTTTGCTGCTACAGGGAGGCTAATAAAGTGTGTTTTTTAGTAGAATATTAATAGCTTCAATTAGGTAACCAAGTTTGATCAAAATATATCCATTAACAAGCAAACTAACTTTACAGTATTCTTCATAAGAATAACATGGGAATTTTAAATTGACATCTTTTGGAATTTTCTTTGTAACCAATAAGTATGGGCTACAAAAAAACTTTAACATACTAAATTATTTGTTTTTAAGCTCTTCAAAGCGGACTTGAGAGAAATTGTGAAATGTTTTTGTTCCGAGGGTCAAAAATGAAAAAAAAACACAAATTTTTACTCCATAAAACCCCGTTCCCACGGTCCTATCATGCTGGTTCGCAGTCTTTCACACATATACTGGCTTCCACTGTAGCATTTAATGATCATGAACCATGAGGAGATGTACCTTATAATGTTCCTGTGTGGAGTTGTTTGTTCCAAGTAGGTAGGCCTATTGTGTTGAATTTTACTCCAAATAACTGTTTTTTGCTTGTTGTAGGAACTGCAGGACATAAGAGCATCCGGTTTGAAAGCTTTCCGAGATATTCGTGTTGATGACACAAATATACTCTCCTGGCAAGGACTGATAGTCCCAGTAAGTAACACTTCTTGTTAATAATATCAGAGGATTTATTATAAGAATGTAAACTGTCTTCATCTAGACTCATACTTTTTGGTTAGATTCAGTTTCCTCAATGCCATTAGGGAATTTGAGATTGATCCTTAAAGCAATATTAAAAATTAACACTATGATTGTGGACTGTAGAAACGCCATTATAAACCATTTCTTTGGAACGGATCCAAAGATTTAATGTTCTTCATAATATTATTTTCATTAAACTCCAAACAATCTTGGTTTGTTATTTTTCAAGAAGTTATCATTACTGTTGGACAATTTCTTTAATTGTTGTAAGGGTGTTAAATTTGATTAATTAATGATAATATATATTTTTCTTACCGTCTATGCAATCAGGGGTGATATTCCACTACGGCCGTTTTGGAGATAACTCCATTGTCAGGTGCGTAGTGGTACACTAAACTATAGTCTAGTCACATTTATCACGAAAAGTCTTCATTTACATTGCGTCAGGGGTATATAGTACACATAAGAAAACAGGAAGGACACACAAAAACAAGAATACACAAAGACATTTAGAGCGTGTGCACGGCTTGAAAACTGACGACCGACTGTTCAATTCTGGTTACTGCAGGAGTTACGTTGATGACTGGAACAGCTGATAACACGGTGTACCAACCTTATCTACTCAAATTATTTCTTTCCTGTTTGATTTCTATTATTCTCTAAAAAATTGGATTGGCTGCTGAATTTGTTTTGGAGTTAATTAACTTAAATTAAGTTGGGTTCTTTAGCTGTACTGTTGTAGATATGGAAATTTCCGATGCAATTAAGTTTGTGACTTTTATTGCCAATATGTCTTAGTCTATGGATGACTAGTTTCGGGTACAAAGACCCATTATCAAATTCTTTAAATATCATGTTGAATTTGGTCAAAAATCCGACGGAATTCTTCATCAAGATATAAATACAGGTCGATACATAAAGTTTACAATAAAAAAAAAAAACATAAGACGACAGGCCTGTCACATTGAACACAGAACAAACCGATGCAGGTTACATGGCGGACACGACAGAACTATCCATTGTCCAGTTGGTGACATTGACCTTGGTTTTATAAAGACTAGTAGTAGCTCTGATGTCAATGTTTTCAATTCTATTGAATACATTATTTGAACCAAAATTTAGTTTTTTCATTCAAGACGTCTTGAGGGGATTTTTGATTAGATTTATAAATTTCAAGACTCTAAGACGTTCATGAGGGGGCCTTTACTGCATTTGTACAAGATTTGTAAATTATTTTGGCAACTATTGACATTGTGATTGGCGTTTACTAAATGTTCTGCAAATTTTGATCCTTGTAGTGACAGTTTTGGTTCAGGGATTTGTTCTTTAAATATGGTATTGAAAGAACGTCCCGATGGGCCAATGTATAATTTGGTGCAGTCATTACAAGATAGTTTGTAAATACCTGTGCCATCTAAATCATGATCATTTTGTTACGGCTGGATTGGCTCAAATGACATTCTAGCTTGTTTGATGATTTACTGGCTAGGGTGATTTTATGTTTTTTCAATTCATTTTTTAAGGTATAGTGTGGGTTGGCTTCGAACTCGACAGATACAAAGTTGCAGGGTTTATCAATCTGTTTACCAATTTTGTTTTTTTGTTTGTTAACTATCTTATTGATAATACTGCTGGGGTAGCCATTGCTAACAGCTATATGTTTCAGAATGGGGTACTCTGAGTTGTGGTCTTCTGGGGATTCTTAACATTCTGTTTACAAAACTGTTTTAAGCTGCCATTTTGTGAGCTTGGGGATGATTAGATAAGGCGTGAATGGTGTGATCGGTAATCGTTGGCTTCCTGTAGATTTTGAATTTTATGTTGTCATTATCTTTGGTAAGCGTTAAATCCAGAAGTTTAAGGATTGGTTTAGCTCGATTTCCAATGTAAACTTCAAATTAAACGATATGTTATTTAAATAGTTATTCAGAAGCTGCAATTGTCTGGAGTTGCCTTAAAAAACTAAAAATATGTAGTCCACATATCTTTTGTAGAAGATTATTTATATTATTGCTGTCGGACAAAACGGTTTATTTCCTGAGCAGGACAGAAGTAAAGCTGTTCTTGCTGGTTAAATTTGATAGATGTTCTGTTGACTATTCTTGGACGAATCAGATGGACATCAGATGACTTACACAAGGTTGTGTAACTTACACAAGCTTTTTTGATGTTTTTTTTTTTTACACTAATTAAATTATCAAGCTTCTTAAGCTGAGTTGATCTTTTTTCTCTAATGATAGGTCTTATCCAATCGTCAACAGCATTGATAACAATTCCAAAACAGTGACGATATAGGTTAGACAAATCCAGATAAATCTTTAGAACTTGTTTTGCGCAAAGTAAATGAAAGATAGCCTACGTCTTATATCACTTAAAACATATATTTACGCTTATACTGTTACTCACAAGACAGTAAATATACAAAAAAGATGGTTAGTGGTGATCGATTTCAATTGGACACTCCTATCATCATCAGACCCAATAGGCAAATGAATTTGAAATGTCACCAAGTAATTTCACTGGTTCCTCCTCCTCCACAGTTTTTAGGCTATAGATAGAGCTATTTCATCATTCGTTTCAGCTGGTGTGCACTAAACCAGTCCTTGGCCTGGAATAGCAGGTGTTCAACTTCAAGTCGTCACATTAGGCAGGGCCGGATTTAGCATGTTAGCACCCCTTTGCCCAATAATTTTACCGCCCTCTAGCCTGGTTAAAGATACTTTTCTACAAAGATTTATATAAAACTTTATCAGGCTTATATGTTAATTACAGTAACACCAATCCACAACACAGTTTTATCATTGCAAGTTTTTTGAGGAATTAACTTGTTTCTGGCCTTAAATGCAAATATTTTAGCAAAGTAATGTATTAAATAGCTCAAGCTTGTTGAACTGAAACAAAATTATCGAACCCGCAGAAAATTCCTGCAACAAAACATGTCTATTATAACCCAAATTTTAGGCCTAGAGTAGACTCCTCTTATCCGGACTCCTTGGGACCGAGGCCAGTCCTGATAACGGGTTTTCCGGTTAAACCGACGTCCCCAAAAACTCTGTTAAAACGGACCGTTTACGGTGAAATTCAACTTAAATTTAGGAAAGCATTGTATTTAGACACGTGATCACTGGTCTCAAATCTTTCCCACGAGAACAGTCGTTTAAGTACCAGTACCACACTTCCTGCCGATCTAGTCCGGTTAAACCAAAATGTGCTGATCAAAATTGTCTGGTTAAAGAGATGTCATTTCCGCCGAGTGTAGTCCGGATAAACCGATGTCCGGTTAAAAGGTGTCCGGATAAGAGGGAGTCTACTGTACAAACAAACATGAGCTCCGTACAGTACGTCAGTAAACAATACCACAGATTTTTCATCCTTATGGGTCTGCTAAAGAAAATTGTAATTATTTCAGTTATTTTAAACCTCGCTCGACCAAACAAAACAATCTAATCATAAATAATAGCTCGTCCCCTAGTTAAATAACAAGAAAGTACAGCAAAAATTATAAACTTAACCCTGAAATAATAGAAACAAGATTTTACAAGTCATTTCCTGAATGTTGTTATCTTCATGTACAAAATGTGTGTGGGGCAAATCTAATAATTTTAACTTAAGATTTCTTCTTATTAGCTTTTTCTGCCTTTTTTATGTATATGAAAATGAGGTTCTCAGTAAATAAATAAATACAAGTTTTTCAGTGTCTGCAACATGAACTAGTCATGAAAACAATTTTTAGATATTACAATAGGTTGAGAAGACGTCTACTTGATACTGCATCTAGATTACATACGAAAAACCAACCGATTGAATCCTCAGCCCTCCTCAGCCTAAGGAGAGAATGACAGAATTAATCTTGTGCTTTGGAGAGTATTGAACTTTTCTAAAACCTAGTTTGCAAAGTCAGATTAATATTTTTTCATTGGTTTAAAAGTCGAACTCGTTGTTTTTTTAACATTCAACACAACGTATGATATATTTTAACTTGATCCAGTAGGTTTTTGTAAGCTAATCAAAAGTTAGGTAGATAAATTTAGTTTTGCGAGGTGAGGGTGGTTACAGTGTCTAGACCAGGGGCGGCTCCAGGGGGTGGCCATGCCCCCCCCCTTGAGAGGAGGAGGAAATTTTCAAAAAACGTATTTCATAACCATTTCCCTAGTGAAAAAAACATTAGAGAATCATTAAAAAAATACGTAGTGATACGTAGTTGTAATGGGCCAACTAGACATCACTACGTATGTAGTGATATAATTAAGTAACGTAGTGATGTATGAACATTAGGTAACGTAGTGATGTCTAGTTGGCCCAATTACAACTACGTATCACTAGGTAATGTATGATCATTAGGTAACGTAGTGATGTCTAGTTGGCCCAATTACCACTACGTATCACTAGGTAATGTTGAGTGATCTTTTGCATAGTGATGTCTAATGATTTTGGCATGGTGGTGACAAATGATACAATCAAATCTCGTCAGACATCACTTACTTATTGTCTTTCTCACCCTAAGATAGCCAAGAAGATAAGATGTTGCTCTTAAGTAACACTTACCACGATCAGTGTCATGTAGGATAACATGTTGACCCTTACACAGACATAAGCTTGTGATAATATAGGCAGAAAAAAATTTCTAGAGACAAATTTCTAAACTTTTATCAGTAAAATAGTAACAAAGGTAGCAAAAAGTTAAATATGTGACTAAGATTGCACAGCTAGGGCCTATAGTAACTACGTAGTTTAATTCATAAAACAAACAAATGGGTTTCAATAACAAAAAACACCAAACCCTGACTATTTGGAAGATTAGTTACAGACACGGTACATGACAGTTCTGTCCCCATAATTTCAGTTTAGCAGGAATTTGCTCAATTTAAAATTATATCTTTAAAATGAAACCAAGCTAAATAAAATATGTTGAATTAAGAATCAGAATAAAGTTTACTTTTGTTTTTAATAATTAGTGTTTAACTAGGCCTATTAGGGTTGGGATTTTTTTGTGATTGTGACATTTTTTGTGAGATATAACTTTTCACTGCAGCACAACACAGGACCACCTCGTTTTCTGTTGGTGGAGGACTTCCTCTCGAAAACGTTCACAGAAAAGTCCTGAAAAGGCATACACCGATAAAATAAAAAATGACCAATCATAAATATTTTGAAATCTATATATTGCCAACTCACCAGAACAAAAATTCAGCTAAACCATTTACTACAGAGTGAATAAGAAATCCACGCTATTAAATACTAAACGGGTTTTGGGCAGCAATTTATAGCAAAATTTTAACTCAAAAGTTGAAAGTTTGCCTAGTGGTCATTCATTTACTACTACTGGAATGTCAAATATAAATAACAATTAATTGTAACCTACTTTCTGTCAATCCCATTCACTGCTGATTTGCGATGCGTTTTTGTCAACGCATCAGATATCTCCAGGCATCCACAATAGCTTTGTCATAAATATTAAAATAAAACTGTCACTAGATACAATTTACCCAAAAATACATTTAACAAATAGCAGGTAGGCCTATTGTTGTAGCGGTGGCCCATTCCATGTACGCACACAAATTAATTTTGGCCCAGAACTAAAAGACGTGGTCACCGGGTCTAATACAGTTTATTCGTTAGCCTAAATGTATTTTTAGTAATCAGAGGCCTACATTAATATTTACTAGGGGTGCAGGTAATTCTTGGCCTACACCGTTCTGATTTTTGCTCAACAATCAAACGTAGCATAGCCTAAGCCCTTTTATTTTGAATTTTAATTTTAATCGATATGGTACAGTAAATCTAATTTTAATTTTACTTTACCATCTTGACTAAAAACTTATAATCGCTATAACAACCCGTTCCCATAACCTGACCTTTCTGGTTCACAAACTCATTCAAGTCTATTGTCATCTTTAGACACTCATATCAAATTTCATCAAAATTGGATCAAAACTATTGGAGTTACGAACACACACACAAAACTTACATAGCAAAAAATATGCATTCTTAATACTGCCATGGATAGGTTGTATAAAAACTCAAAGAACAATAGGCAATGGCAACTGGAGACAACACAATGAAAAAGAAAATTTATTTCTGCAAAGATAACACAATTGAAACATTCACGCTTTCAAACCCCTGTAATCTGTACACTAAACAAAGATTTCTTTTTGTAAATTTTTGGGATTTAAAAAAAATTAAGATTAGTTGCTAGCAAAATGTATAAAGCTGATTTACCCTTGTTGGAAACAATTGTAAACATAAGCCGGGTTTACACGATGCCAGTTGGCGAGACAATTGTCAGGAGACAACTGACTGGCTTGGAATTACTGGCTTCGTGTAAACACTTCAGGCCAATTGGCAAGCCAATTGGCCCGCCAATTGTCCCGAAATTCAGTTGTCTCCGGGAGTAGACTGAGGACAGTGAGCTGGGCCCAGTGAGGCCCCCACCCCTCAAAAACCCAGTTGTCGTGACAATTGGCGCCGTGTAAACGGTGTAGAGGCCAATAGCACTGTCTTGTCTTTTGGCAGTAGTACCCTGGTTCACTGTAAAATGCCTGGGCAAGTGTTGGCCACGTGTGAACAGGTTCTCGTTCAACTTGCCTGGCCTACGACAATTCCAAAACCACGTGATGCCAATTGGCAAAGACACTTGTCTCACCAACTGGCATCGTGTAAACCCGGCTATATTGCCAAAGCGTCGCCAGCTATGACAATGAGTGTAGGATTTTAATACTCCTTAATCTGATAACAATTCCTACACCCTTTTTTTGGTGAAATATATCTTTATTTTTCATATATTTACTGAAATACTTAAGCCTATCCTATTCAATTTTATATAGTTAATCTTTACTTCTAAAGCAGTTTATACTACTAATGTTGTTTTTAGGACAACCCACCATTTAACAAAGGTGCCTTCAAGATCGAGATTACGTTTCCTGCAGAGTACCCCTTCAAACCACCCAAGATTTGTTTCAAGACAAAAATCTACCACCCTAACATAGATGAAAAGGGACAAGTTTGTTTGCCCATCATAAGTGCTGAGAATTGGAAACCTGCCACCAAAACTGATCAAGGTTAGTTGTAGATTTGCTTAAAATACATCGATTTGCTAATTAAGACTTAACAGCGCAAACATTTGTAATTAGATTCTCATTTAAGTTACAATTGCCGTTATTATAGTTTTTTTCAAGTAATTTTAATAGTTATAAACCGTTTTGCAATACTTTCTTGATTGATTTTATAGTAAACCAAAATTTACGGTTTACTGGCGAGTGGCGATGGTTCAGAAGAAGCAGGAGGTAAGTTGGATGTACACTACCTACCACCATGAATAGGCCTACGCGGAAGCCAACACCGCCGGTCGCCGGAAGCAGACTACATTGTGCTGAACTGCAACTGACTTCCATCCAACTTATTGTTAAGATTTATTTGATTCTGATATTATCTGGTGATACAGTACCTATTTTCAGCGATTATAGCCAAAAAGCCTTTAAAATAAATGTGTAGTAGTAGGCCTACAAGTTATTTTTCCAACCCATTCCAAAAACTACAAATCTTTCTAACATTGAACGGCAATCCAGCCGGTGCTCAGGAAGCCTGAAAACGTCTTAAAGCCTTTTTTATTCTTATTCAATTATTTTAATTATATCTCACACAAGACTAACAAATTAAAAAAAAACAAGGTCAGGAGTTGAGTCATAGTTATATACTGTAGGAATGTGGAGAGGCTAGGCATGTTGGTATGGATTAGGCATTCCCTGGAATGTAAGTCGTGTAAGGGGAGATGAACTGTCTTAACTTCTGGCATGTTTAATGCATATCAATATAAACAAGGGCAGAATTTTATCATCATAGCTATGTAGATGTAGGCCTACTGTAGGAATGTCGAGAGGTCAAGACAGCTGGTATTGGCATGGCATTGCAAATAATTTGCAAGAAAACTGATGCACATATTACGTTCCTTTGTAATGACGCATACCAAACAAGAAAACAAAGTCTGTATCGTATGTAAATACTGTCTCTAGTAGGCCTAATGTAACTAATGTTATGTTGTTTATCAAAATATATTATTGTCATTTGTTTGTTCATATCTAAGTTTTATTTTTGTTATAACTAAACCTACATAAATTTATTTTGTTTTGCAAACTTACGTGTATAAGTTTATTCTGCAAAATGTTCAACTATGTTAATTTTCAACCTCAGTTTTCAATGTGTGCCGAGTGAATTTTAAGAGTTAATGGATTTTAAGAACTACCTAATAAACGTATATGTTTAACGTCTGTGTTGTCTTTATTATTTACCAAAATCCGTGATTATAATTGAATTTGTTTTTACATACATCATTCGGACATGGGTAAATTTAATACAACCAACACAAGTTATTATTTGTCTTGTCTCGTTAAACTCTGCCTTTTGAGATAGCTGTGCGCAATGTGAGATTAGGACCTACCTTTTTCATTGACTTCGAATAGCATTAAGTTTATATTTTTATCTTATCTTATTGGTTTTTTTTTAGGTTATAATAATTTGAAAATAGTTTGTAACATTTTAATGTATTTGTGCACAAACTCTTTTACTGAATTAACTGTACCGTGTTTCGGCTTAACACGTTCTCTACCGACCGTCACACTCCTCTGTAACTGAGGGTTGAGTATAGTTGGTAGCTAATGTGTTAACACGTTCTCTACAGACCGTCACACTCCTCTGTAACTGAGGGTTGAGTATAGTTGGTAGCTAATGTGTTAACACGTTCTCTACCGACCGTCACACTCCTCTGTAACTGAGGGTTGAGTATAGTTGGTAGCTAATGTGTTAACACGTTCTCTACCGACCGTCACACTCCTCTGTAACTGAGGGTTGAGTATAGTTGGTAGCTAATGTGTTAACACGTTCTCTACCGACCGTCACACTCCTCTGTAACTGAGGGTTGAGTATAGTTGGTAGCTAATGTGTTAACACGTTCTCTACCGACCGTCACACTCCTCTGTAACTGAGGGTTGAGTATAGTTGGTAGCTAATGTGTTAACACGTTCTCTACCGACCGTCACACTCCTCTGTAACTGAGGGTTGAGTATAGTTGGTAGCTAATGTGTTAACACGTTCTCTACCGACCGTCACACTCCTCTGTAACTGAGGGTTGAGTATAGTTGGTAGCTAATGTGTTAACACGTTCTCTACCGACTGTCACACTCCTCTGTAACTGAGGGTTGAGTATAGTTGGTAGCTAATTTGTTAACACGTTCTCTACCGACCGTCACACTCCTCTGTAACTGAGGGTTGAGTATAGTTGGTAGCTAATGTGTTAACACGTTCTCTACCGACCGTCACACTCCTCTGTAACTGAGGGTTGAGTATAGTTGGTAGCTAATGTGTTAACACGTTCTCTACAGACCGTCACACTCCTCTGTAACTGAGGGTTGAGTATAGTTGGTAGCTAATGTGTTAACACGTTCTCTACCGACCGTCACACTCCTCTGTAACTGAGGGTTGAGTATAGTTGGTAGCTAATGTGTTAACACGTTCTCTACCGACCGTCACACTCCTCTGTAACTGAGGGTTGAGTATAGTTGGTAGCTAATTTGTTAATACGTTCTCTACCGACCGTCACACTCCTCTGTAACTGAGGGTTGAGTATAGTTGGTAGTTAATGTGTTAACACGTTCTCTACCGACCGTCACACTCCTCTGTAACTGAGGGTTGAGTATAGTTGGTAGCTAATGTGTTAACACGTTCTCTACCGACCGTCACACTCCTCTGTAACTGAGGGTTGAGTATAGTTGGTAGCTAATTTGTTAACACGTTCTCTACCGACCGTCACACTCCTCTGTAACTGAGGGTTGAGTATAGTTGGTAGTTAATGTGTTAACCGCGCAGTTGTTTTGTACTACTGTCTACTAGCCGTCCGCAAAATGTTCGGCAATTGTTTACTTCTTGTCAATTGACCTTGACATCGGCACAAACCTCAGCAACTTCTTTTCATAATCCATCATCGATTGGCACGCTTTTCGATCGATGTGCAGCTTGTTTCGAATTGAATGCTCTGTAATACAACTTTATAGTAACCTATTATAAGCATTATTAAACAATTATTACACACAAGTAAGAAGAGTGGCCTTTATTTGAGTTTGAAACTGATCAAATGACTAGTCTACTGTACTGTCTACTAGCACTCTACTTGTTTTCTACTGTAAGGTGGTGGGACAAAATCTTGAAACAAATTTGCAAACATATTTTATCAGCATCAGAGCATGCGATCCTTGAAGTTTGTCATTAGTTATATGACCTCTAAAAACTCCATTTACAAAATGATTACAAACTTCCATTGTTAACTTAAAGTTATCAGCAGAGTGATCGCATTGCAATTTAAGTCTGTAGGCATACTTGACTATTTTTAGGACATCTTCATTTGCCCTAATCAGTTTACCCTTAGATTTAAAATCCGTAAAATGAGTATGTCGTCTCAAGTCACAACTTTGGGTACGGATGACCATGCTACAGTCTTCACAAGATATTTCTTTTTTAAATTTTTCTAACTATAAATGCCACAAATATAATAAAGAACGTCTTCTTTGTAGCTGGAAATCTCATAATTTCCTTTATTATATTTGCAGCGTTATCTATGTCATCAGCTTCACCTTCTAGGTCTAGTGAATCTTTACTAGTACCTAGCTGTATGACATCAAACAACTGTGGGGTTGGGCCAAATTCAAGGCAGTTGCTATGTTCTGAGGAGCGTATACTATTTCTGAACATTAATTTTAATGCCTAGGTAAACTGTTTTACGTTAGGGTTAATATTGTTCTCACCCCTACATCTTATACATGAAAAAAATAGTTGAAGATTATATGAAACAATTAATTTTATGTCTCCTTATAGGAATATCTCTGTTAATTTGGCAGATTCGTAACAATAACATAAATAAATAAAAATTCATATGATATAAGTGAAAATTTCCAAATATTCAATTTCAAACTAATATTTAACTAGGGAACCTGTGCATTTCAATGAGCCGTATAGTATGAAACATAACGATGAGGAAAACTTTATGCTTAAATTAGAGTAACTTTCTTTGAGTTATTTTGAAACTACTTGTTGAAAATTGATTTTTTTATGTCTCTTATTGGTTCACATACATTTCTGCTCTCAGTTAGTTTTACTTGATTACTTATAATGAATGCTAAACACTCCTTCAATTCAAGTGATCATGTCTAAAATATGTTGCAAAAAAGTTTTTCCAGCATGGAGAACAGAAGAAATTGTTGCCTTACTGATAACCTGTGTGAAGTAAACTCAAGGTGGGTCACTTTATTTCTTTGATTTGAGACATCCCTCTAAACCAAAGATTTTCTCCATAGGGAAATCCTGAAAATTGGGGTGATATCAACCATTTAATTTGTACCATTTTGAGGTATACAACAAACTCTGTGTTACCAACTGGTCAACTATCATCTGCGTTGAATATAGCAGCAACACCTTTGAAAGTTAGTTCCTCTGTTCGTGCCTGGTCCTCCCCACAGCACTGATGAATTGCCTTCCTCTCCGCCACCATAAGTTTGACGGGGATGACTCCAGCAACCACCAGGACGATGGTTTCGGACACTGTTCAGTAGGCGGATGCAACTCTTAGTGCTGCCTGACGCTGCACTCGGGCGAGCCGCATCCTATATACCTCCTTATTGAGAGCGTCTGCCCACACCTCCCGGACTGGACAGAAGACATTAACAGCCTTCTACGGCTGGACCAAGGCCCTCCAACATTGGCCATCAACCGGCTAAGAGAGGAAACCACCCTAGCGGCCTTGTCTGCCGTACGAAAAATCTGATCCCGCCAGCTAAGCTTACTGTCCACCATAACCCCAAGGTACTTGGCAGAGCGAACGCTCTGGACTTCGACGGCCCCTACCCTCAATGGCACGATGGTGTCAATCTGTTTTTTGTTAATATAACGATCTCAGTTTTGCTCCAAGCGAGCGAGAGCCCTAGGTCTGCCATTCATGCGTTTAAGGTACGCAGGACTTGGTTCATCTTTAGCTGAGCCAGCTCAACGCTACGTGCAGCTATCAAAACTGCAACGT